ACCACAGAGCGATATCATCCCTGAAATCAGATCTCTTGGTGGTGAAGATGACCTGTTCTGAAAAGCTCTGTCTTGCCTTCTCCTGTTCAAGACAAATACGCCTTCTATCATGTGTATAAAAATGATTAAAATATTTCAGTCACACCATTAGCCTAAAGAAATTATATAGCTTTATAAATATTCTTAAAGAGTGAAAAAAAATCAAATCTGAATATAGATTGGAATCAGCTGTACCTATGACAAACGCTTCCTTCTTCAGTGCAGAGAACGCTGACTGTGCAGAGGGATGGCTCAAGTCCACGAGAGATAAAGCGTAGGCACTTATGGCCATCGTAAAGGGGCTTTCAGCAGATCGCACATTTCTCAGCAAATAATCTCCTGCTCTGTTTTTAGCATCATGGATTCTCTGAGAAGATAAACAATCTACAGCTTACATGTTACATGCATTTAAAGAAACACATCTATGAAGACAAAATGGACACACACAGTATCTTCTACAACCTTATGTCCTACTTACCTGAGTAGGACATATTTTAATGGTCTTCTCAATTCCAATAAGAGAAAATGCTGTGAGATATAAAGATTTTTCTTTAGCTTCTGTAGGTAATGTTCCCTACAAAATCAAATACATAAAAATAATTAAATAGAAAAAAACAGGTCACTCAAGAAACTTTTTAACAGTTTAAATGAGTAAAGGAACACAAATCTCTGTAGTGAGTGTCAAATGTGCTGGGAATATGTATATTTTATATGTGTATATATATCAACCTATATATTATTTTTCCCTAAATTCTAAGAAATGGCAAGTAGCTGCTAGTACTGGGAAAACAGAGAAGTATGTAGGAATGTGCTGAGCTTCCCTTAATTTACAGGACATTAGCAAAGTTATTTTGTCTAGATGATCTGGTCAAATCAAGCCTAAAATATCTCGCATTCCTAAGACATAATACATTCACTTTAGCTTTTCATGTAGACACAAAAATAAATTCATTTTCATACCTGTAGTTTCACTGGTTGATAACTTGAAAATTCACTGAATGACCCATCTGGCATTTGACAATTATCAATAAGCCACAGAAGTGAATTACAGACAGAAATGTGATCAAGACTTATATATTTATTAACTTGTCCAAAAATCCTTAAAGCAAAAGCTGACAACCTGGCAAGGAAATCAAGCAGAATATAGTTGTTTTGATTAGTAGATTTAAAAAAAAAAAAAAAAAAAAAAACTTACTTGTACCATTAAAAAAAAAGTGTTCTTGGCTATTTGATATTTCCTAATCTTAAGTCAGATAGAAAAGTAAAGAATTAAATCAAGATTTTTCAATCCATCTTTCTAAAGAAAAGATCTCTTTAACTCACCATGTGCTAGCTTGTCCGTTCTTCCACATGCTATATGAGAAGTCAGGTTTTCTGAATGACAAGATGCCTACAATTCCTAAGGAATATATTAGGCAGATTTAGTGGTTATGGAAAAAAAGTTATATTAAAATGATATTTGCTCACTCAGATATATTATCTTAATCAAATTCTACGCATCTCTACAACTCTAAAATAAGAGAAGATATGTTTTTTATACCTTCTTTCATCTTTCTCCTCATTTCAGTTCTTGAAGACAAGGTTCTAGGACCCAACAAATGCCAATTATTTGATTGCTCCAGGTAGTGAAACACGTAAAATACTGGGACAATACTCATAAGCTCTGCCTCCGCACTGCCCTTCGGCAGGTTAGTGAGAGACTTGAAACCATCAGGACTGAGGACTGTGGCAATCACTTCACCCATAAGATGCCCTGTGGGGGGAGAAAAAAAAAAAAAAAAAGATTTTAAGGGGTAACCCAAGATGAACTGTAGGGCAGAATCAGGTTCATATTAGAGGACAGTAATTTCATATTAGTTATTCAAACTTCTGAAGTCATCTCTAGATCCTTTCCACAAAGAGAACCTAGAAATAAATTCATACAAATTTAAACAGAGGAGTAATAAGAAATAGAAGCCAAAGTATAGCAAAAGTAAACATGCAGTAGGCTAAAAGTTTCCATTCAAATTACCTTTTACACTGATACTTCTATCAATTTTCGTTTTAGGCACCAGATCCAATGGAATTTTATATCGAAATTCTTGTCGTCTCTTGATTAAGCCTACAATAGAAAATGTGGCTATAGCATATGGCAGGATCTATCAATCAATCAATGGAGGATTCAGATGCAATTGCAGGATTTAAAGACTAGAACTTAATAACAGAAACACACCTGAATGCACATGTAAGCCGTATCAACTATTAAAAAAGCAAAGCAAAAACAAACAAAAAAAAACAGATTCAAACACTTATTAATCTTTCTTTGATGTTAAGAGAATATATGGTTTTGACACAGTTTATTACTACAGATTTGCTTTTGATTAAATGGAAACATATTCTATTTAAAATCGTCTTGCTAGTTGGTATTAAGGCTCACTGAGAAAGCTAGGTCTTCATACTGTGTTAAAAGATGCATACGAAGTTTCCTTTAAGAATTTAATCGAACTAGTCTTGAAAGACTAGCTCTTTTGATGGATTTGTTGGTGTATTAAAGGACAAGAAAACCATGGAAATGACACAGGAAAGGACATACATCAGGAAGCAGAACCGTTCCTTTTTGTTATTACTCAAAAGTTGACTGTCATAACTGCATGAAATAACGATATGAAAATATAAACAAAAACAGATGAGATACACATATAATCAATTCTCATACCATAAACACCATTCGGATCCAAAGTAAAGCCTGCATGAAGTTCTCTCTTAATTCCTTCTGGCTGAAATTAAGAAAGAAGAAATAAGCAGAAAATGGAAATACTTTTGCTTAATCATACATACTAGCTGAAGCAACAGTTTAAAACTATAGTATACTAGCCTTCATGCTTTTCTACGAATTTCTTATATTCTTTAATAAGACTTAATAAAAAATAAAAATAAAAGCTTAGGAAAATATTAAGTTACAAAAATAAAAAGCAATTAAAATATAAAATTAAAAATATAGATTTCTATTAAGTAGGTTTAGACAGTTGGAAACTCAGAATAACTTAGAATACATTTTATTTATTAAGATACAGATTGATAGATATGGAGATATACAAGTTTCTGAAAATTCTAATATGCAAGGGTTAAAAACATAAGCAGTTAAATACTCAGTCATGCATTTTTTCACTGCATATCTCCTAATTAATTCAATGATATCATGTGAGATCTGGGAATCAGATAATATTAAGATATAGCAACATAAATATTGCTATATATTTGATTTCATATACTTCTTGTGAATGTATCAATACAAAATTGGAAAATATTTAAACCCTTTTTTTTTCCCCTTACCATTACACGTAATGTTTTAACTACAATTTCACTATTCTGGGCAGCCAACAGTGTAAAGTTGATAGTATGAAGACCTAATTCCAAAGGAAGTATTCTGAATGTTATTGGTAATGATGAACCACCATTTAGATACTTGAAGTTACAAGTGCGTGTCCTCATTCCAGTAGTTGCAGTATCTCCAAAAGTACAGATTCCATCGCCTGCTGCTATTTTAACACAGAACTGAAATGGAGAGATTAAAAATCTTCACTTTATGACACGTACAACAGCAGAGAAAAGTGAAGTCCATTGAACTATTATAATGAACATTCCATTGCTGTAATTCTTTTTCTGTTTGCAAGGGGCAAGTGTCACTAACTTTGGAATTACTATTGCTTGTGCCAGAGAGACACTAAGAAATGGTCACTACCAAGACCAAGAAGTCACTCTAATACTCATCATACAAACACCTTAGCATATTTTTTTTCTGAAAACTTTCCAAGATTATTTTTCACTCTTCTGTTTTAATGCATTTCTTTAGGAATGCTGCTTTCCTACTAAAACCATAGACAACAATCTGCTAGTTGTGGAGCAGGTAATTTCCCAAATTCTATCATTTATTTGACATGTTGTCCTAACATCTGAAATAGAAAAAATGATCTTAGCTTTTCACGAATACAATTACACCACGTTCAAAGTTGTTGGCAAGAACATGACAACTTTGTCATCAGAAGCATGGCTGGAGATGAAGCTTTTAATGACTGCTTTTCAATGTTACACAGTTAAGTAAACTTTTAAAATACTTTTACAGCTCCCCCCCCTTTTTTTTTTAAACAGAACTCACAAATTACCTTAATTACTGAATCTCCATAGTTATAGACTGATCCTTTTAACTCAATTTGTTCTCCTCGCACCACAGAATAAGGAACATAAACACTCAAGAAGATATCTTTTAAAACCTGCACTTCCAGGGGCTCAGCAACACATATACCTGAGAAAATGAAAAACATAAAAATCATACTATCTTGTCCATACTTACAATAAACAAGTTTGAAGGGCTCTTCATAGCCCTGCTGCCTTTATTGATGGCTTATCGGTTTTTCAAAAGGTGCTTTGAGATTCTTTGGCTTCTTTAAAAGTGACCAGGCTCTTGTGTTCTCTTCCAAGCTGCTATCTGCTACTCTTCTAATGTACTCACACACACGCCAGTCCATTGGGCTTCTGCTTCCTCCTAATCCTAGCAGCACCTCTTCTGTTTGGATTATCGTATGTATCAGACTGTTTCTTTAGTTCTCCCAGTCCCTAAGCTATTGATAGCAGGACACTGCAAAGCAGTGCCAAGGACCAGTCGTCAAGTATCTGTGCTCTTCCTCCTCCTAGTCAGCTATTATGGGTCACTATCAAAGACAAAATATTAGGCTAGACACACATTTGTTTTGACCAGTGTGGCCAAATCTTACATTCGTAACAACAAATGAAGTAATTTTCTTTAAATAAAGGTATATTCTGATGTTTTCTTTTCCTGACTAACCACCAAAAAAAAAATAAAGTTATATCTTAGAACAACATGGCAACAGAGAAAGGAAGATCTGCAAAATCCAAACAGAAAAATTCCCTAGTTCTTTATCTACAATCTAATTTGTTTACGGTACCTACCTTTATCAGATATGCCAACACCTTGTATTTCCCAGGTAGTCAGTGAATCAGGCAGAGTAATAGAAAGAGTCTTTGACCTGTGTTTAGAAGTGTTTTACAGTTAGCACATTTATGTATCAAAGTTATTTGTTAACACCATCAACAAATCAACAGGAAGACAGTCTGTGCCCAGAGCAACTCCTGTACCTAATATAGACCCAGACAAGAAAAGCGCTAACGCAGAACAGGACCTCTGGATTTCTGTTTGCAAAGGTTTCGTTTTGGCTGACCTTACAGAAATTTGTGTTTAGCAAGGTCAAAAGTGAACGGAAAATTGCCTTAGAGGCAGCAGACATCTTCTCCCGCACACAGGAAAACATGGCATAAACAATGTGCTGTACAAAACTGCATTTTAGCACATTTCACAAGCAGTACAGTTGAGGCTACCCTGGTTACCTTAATTTTAGCATTTACTTTCTAAAAATACTGATGACTTAGCCCAATGTTAGTAACTGATTGAGAAAGCAGTACCTTGAGGAAACTTGATGAACTTCCCATAACCAGCTTTCAGGGAAATAACTTCGCACATCTGCTTTTTCCAATTCCAATGCAGACTCAAAATCTGAACATAAATAAAGCAAGTAGAAAAAAAACTGCCAAAAGGCAGCCAAAGGCTTCAAAATCATCATCCGTTCCTTCTGTAATACTATATCATGCCTATTTCTTAATTAAAGAAAAAGCTAAATACTCTCATCAAAAATCTTGTGTTTTCTGATCTCACATGTAAATACTCATCCATTAGCCATACACTATAACTTGTGGACTAGCAATTGCAAGGAGACTGGGAGACGAGAAAATCTGTGGTCCCACTGATTTTTTTTCCCAAAAAAAAAAGTACATTTAGTTGCTTTGGGCCTGGGAACAGGATCCAAAGATTAGCCCCTGCCCAGTACTGAAGTTTGGCATTGCCTTCAGAGATAGTGATGCTCCCTTATTGCTCATCTCCTTGTTTTAAACATGGATGAAACACAGCTCTCCAGTGCAGCCCTTGCTGACCGAGGAATCAGACAAGATCTTTGGATTCTGGCAAAATTTCTTCTATAACAACCCTGACATACTAAAGAGAGCTTAAGGAACAAGGCAATCAGCTGTATGCCTTTCAGTATTCTACACGAGGTATTTCATCACAAGTCCAATCGAGTTAAACTCCAGTACTTACACATTCTGGCCTATTCCGCTCTCCCTGCCGCAGTTTGTTGGCAAATTCACAGCACTCCCTGAACGCCGAAACGCACCTTTCGCCACGCCGAATTCGTCGAGCTCTGTCACTGCAAGTCTCACTGACTGGATACGCTTTTACTCCAGACATGCAACAATTTTGAATTTGTCGACCATAACTAGATACTGAAATAATAAAATAAATTACCCAATCCCTTCCTTGAGATGGAATTTTTACTTTAAAATATATTTTTAACTAGTTATAGCAAAGCTATTTTTAAAACTTGCAGAATGAAGACATAGATTTGAGGATGAACATAGACTTGTCAATTTTAAATATTGGTGACACATCGACTAAGTCACTACTATTCTCAATTAAAAATATAAAATAGATAGAGGAGTTTATTTTACTTGAAGACTTAAAATTTCTTCTGACAGGCCTTGGTCCTTGGCAGATTGTTACTGGAAAAGGCTGCCACATGGTAGCACTGTAAGTTTTGAGGCTATATCTCTTCAAAAGCAGAAAAGAATGTGAAATTATGCTAAATTTTAAGAATATACTCAAGTCTCAGCAACTTCAAACTATGCATATTGCTAAGAGGTTTTATAAATGTGGTCCTCTACAGTGTTATCATCAATATTTGTCAATCTCTCTACACCCTCTATACAAGCAAATGCAGTAATAAAAGTGCAAATCAAGATTCTAGTTACTTCTAAGGGACATGATCTTTTTAAATAATTATATATTTAAATGGAATTTTTAAGCACCTTTCTTGAGTATCTGTTCCTCAAAATCAGACCTTTTGGTTCTTAAAGTTTCCCTGCAAGTTTCATCTGTTAAAAACAAAAATACAAAATTGGTAATGTCTTTGTAATAGCATAGCTTTAAAGTAATTATATAAAATTACATTCTCTTTTAATTATTAAAAGTTATGCTCATTTCAGTTACAATGACATTGCATAAGCCAAAATGTTTTCCTTCTTCAAATCATATTTCTTGGCATATATGTTCTCTCATAATTTTATTAAGCTCCAATACTACAACTATGTGCCACAACATAAGACTTCAAAAGAGAAAAAACACAATTTCATGGTTAAAAAGTACATAATATACCTGCTTCATTTGAATCATCAGCATTTGCATTAGTTAAAAATGTAAGCCCTGCCATTCGAAACACATCAACGTTGTTCCGTCCTCCTCCAGCACCACATCCTAGGTCACTCTTTTCCAAATGTAGCATTACCTGAGGAAAAAGTAAATCAGAAGCTAATTAAAATGTGGATCATTATATGATATTGTATGACAAATGGGGATATTACAGCTTTGCGAAAAAGGCCATTTCTATCTGGAAGATATTTTCACAACACATCAAAATGTGCCATTTACTAATTCTCTTATCTAATCCAAGCACCAGAACCAACTTGAACACTTTGCTGTGGCACAAAGCTCACAAGTCATGTTGTTGAATCACGCAATAATGCGGCCACAACACATGCCATACATCAGCTTGTTGAAAACCGGGTATTTTTACAGAATGGTGCTACAAAACAGACTCAAACGATACAAGGTTGGTGCAAAAGCCCTTCCGTTCCTAGCCTATATACATTGTATCTGACTGCTCAGAATTGTTGCAGAACTGTAACATTTTATCACAGTAACAAAAAGCTTTCAGTGACCGTGATATTCATACCTTGCACACTTACGTGTTAAATTCCGCAAAGACTGAAAAACTCTATAACCCACTGAATAGATTTTGCCATTCCTTTTCCCATCAGTATGCCTTAAAAACATATTTTGATTATAGGAAGTACTAAGAAACACAATGCTTTAAACAAGGAGCTCTCTAGTATGGTAAACTATTACTGGTCAAGTTTGAATGGTTCTGGTGAGTCATCTCAGATCTCTCTAAAACCACAATTTACTTTTACTGGAAATTAAAACATCAAAAAATAATTCTTTTTATTGTTTCTTAACTGATAGTTCTTAACCAGCAACTTTTATTCTGATTTTATTTGCTCTTTTTCCTATTTTCATGCTTATTGAATGCATGAACCATAAAAACAACTAAAATATGAGCATAACATCTAGCAATTTCTTTTTCTTTCATGGCTACTACTTAACTTTTTCCGCAGCTCTCTTTCCTCTTCCTGTGACTCCATACACTGCTTTGTCAATAGATGACAAAGCAACGAAGGAACTGAACTGGGTTTTCATGTTAAGTGATGTGGTTTCTCCTGGCTTCAGCGTCTGTTTGCTTGACAGCAGATTAGTCTATAAATTGAAAACAAATATTGGTCATTTTAAAAGCATACTGTTCAAAAACAGCATCCAAAGGCAAGCACCTTTAATGCGTGGGAAGTGTTAAGGAACTTGAGTAATTCAAAGTAAAATCTCATCATAAAATGAGTGCACGCCTACAAGTTTTAGTGTCCAATTTACTACTCACATCAAGCCTATTCCCACAGTTCTGTTCCACATTCAGCCAAACTGAATCAGCTACTAACTCAGCAGTTTCTTCTCCCATGACAATATAGTAAACAACAAGGCGGGCTGAAGGAACCATTTCTTGAGTTATCTGAAGATGTAGGTGCTCATAATCCAAATCCTTATTCCTCTCTTGAGTTCCAAAGCTTATGATCTTCCCTTTTGATATTAACTATGATAGAAAGACAAAGAATAAAGAAAGTCAAATTTTATACTGAGTATACTATACTCAATGCAATAACTTACATGCAATAACTATTTTGTGTTTAAATATAATTCAATATACACAAAAATGCATCTGGAATGAGTGTGTCTACTTCAAGGGAAAGGGACTCTCCTCTTCATCCTCTAAAAAAGAAGCACTGGTAAAAATTAATTAATACAGGGCTGAATTTTTTTCACTGAGACCAATTTCTCTTAATTCCTTCCCCTCCCTGCCTCACTGAAGTAATTGCTCATGTCAGCATTCTATATGACAAAAGCAGTAGAAAATCTGAATAGTTGTCTGAACTGCATACACTTATTGCTGCAGATAGCTCTTGATAGTGGAGGTTCTTCATTCTAGACCATTTATTTAATCACAATACAGTATTTCATATGGAAACATCTGTTACTTACCAAATAGCTGTAGTGATGTATTTTATGAATATAGTGACTGCGTGGGTATACATTAATATTTATGAAATCGCCTACTTGCACGATTTTGTGGTTTGAAGCCCAGTCGACATAAAGATAACTCTGGCTTAATGATGAATAAGCCTTTGCTTCATATGTTTTAGTTGCTTGGTTTTCATCTGAAAGATTTGGATCTGCAGTTCTAACCTAAGCGGTATGAATAGCAGAAAAAGCTTTGTAGTAAAGGAAGAAACAAAAACTGGATATCCTGACATCTGAAAAGTTTAGGTACAAAACGATATTTAAGAAAAACAAATAAGCACAATATTAGAAATGTTCTGTAATATATTGTTCAGGGGGGTTAATAAAATAAAGGCCAACTAAAGGCTTTCATGTTTTCTTTAATAAAAAGATCATCAAATCCAACTAAAATGTTAGTATAGAAATTGAACCTATAAATAGAGCAGACAAGGCCAATAATACACCTCTCTACAGCGATGGACAAGCACTTTCAGAGATTTCATTCTTATGTGATTGATTTAGACCCTGTTTTTTTTTATAATATTAAGAAATTATGTGACAAATTAGGATATACACTTTTTTCTTATTCTCAGAAAAAATAGTTTTAGTACAATTTAATATACAAATGATGTGTTGTTATAGTATTTACATTTCATAACTTTAGCAATTTCCAAAGTTGAGATTGTGACCAACTTTTGAGTGCAAAATCTTTCCATCTTTGTTATTCATTGGCAAAAGTACACAATTGAATCATTTAAGAAATAAATTAATGACAGAATTTAAACTCACTTGAAATTCTAATATTTTGTTATTAGATGGAATATTGACAGCAAATACAGCCGTTCCATCATTCACACTTGTTGTTCTTCTACCAGCCTCTGAGCCCTCAGGTAACACCTCGGTCTCATCCATTTGCTCGCTCAGTGATTTTGCAGTCACAATTATGGGGACGTTTCCAACAAAGTTATCTACCGTGTTTTTCACCTGCACCTGTTCAGTGAAATACAGAAAATGAGAATGAGAGCATTTTCAAGTAAAAATATACTAAAAGATGCCATTGTTAGTAATATTTTCTGTGGTTTCTAAATTTCTTCAACAGTAGTAAATGAAAAAATTGATCACTGAAATTAAAAGCATTTTAAGGGTAGACGGACAGACCCATGACAACACATGCAAAGAAAAGAATCTTCTGCATTATAGGCTACATGTTATAACATGCAAAAATATTACTTATGTTAATTAACCTTAATGAAGAATGGAAGTCCAGGCTTCACGAAGAGAGGAGTGGCAACCAAGTTCAGTTTGTAAGGAGATACAGCATATATGACTCCATCAAACTCTGCTTCTCCACTAAGGCCACCTAAGGAAATATTATGTCCCCTTTAAGAATTACATCCTAGGGCCTGTATTTTCTCCACTTCAAAGGGTAAGTTGCAAAAAATAATAAAATGATGAATTGCACATTTTATTACTATTTATTTTATATATAGCAAACATTATACACAACATAAGATTAATACAGTAGTAAGAATAACCTCTTTGCTACAATGAAGTCTTTGCACCTAAGGATTCAACTCAGTGTGAAAACATAGGGCAAAGAAGTTCATCCCTTAAAAATGTTAACACTGAATGGGCTCTTCTTCCCTGTAAACTTTTGAAGAAGGATTTCTGAATACTAAAGGAAGTCTGATACCAAGAACATTATCTGTATAGATTTGTTTTCCAACAAAAATTGTGGACAAATTCAAAAAATCAGCTAAAAAGCAACTTACCTGAAGACTCTAGCACTGATGCTACAATATATAAGCGTAACCCATCCAATTCTTCTAGACTTTGAAACCCTATAAAACTAACTGCTTTTTTGCTGTTAAAATTGATTTCAGCAACTCCATTTACAATCTGGAAATGAAATAAAAATACTTTATAATCAATAATTTAGAAATATCCTATAGATATAGCATAAATAAATTCTACTTTAAATATGTTTCTGTTCAATATCTATTTTCAGAGGAACCCAAAGGCAGGAATGTTGTAATGAAGAATTTGTTCCCGGGAACTATTGATAATCAGCCAAATAATGCCACACGCTGCATGTTCTGTACGCAGGCCCAACAGAAGGCAGTAACAACACATATCTCTGTGGTTTTGGGAAGGTAAGGCCTTTTCTCATTCTTGAATGACTAAATCAAAGAGGGCAGACTAAATGAGAGAAAAAGAATTGGCGAAGAACAAACTCCCCATATCACATCCACCTAATTTCAAACTGTCTGTCTACTACCATGATGCTGTATTATAACATTTACCCTCTGCTTGATTTCTTTTGCTTATATTACAAGCTCGTGTAACAGAATAAAATCAATTGCTGGCAATGTAAACTAGAAATTGGAACGCATTTTCATCAAATTTGATGGGAAAACTTCAGTGGGGTTAGATCAATTCTGAACAGAGTACCCAAAGCCTAAAGAAATTGGGCTTGTTTATTCTTACCTTAGTTACATGTAAAGCACGAGGCATCATTTTTTTCCCAGTTTCTTCAATTATTCCAAAACGAAGGAAAACATCAGCACTTGGAACTCTTTTATTATAAAAATAGCTGGGAACAAAAGAACAATAGAAATGCTTTTAACATGACCATTCTAATGGATACAGCAAAGTGTTCATTTCCAGAGCAGAGTCATTTCCTAGGCAAGGAATAGAAAGCAAAGCTTCAAAGACTCCTATTTTCCTCCTCTCTATTAAAAACAACAACAACAAAAAAATCCTTAGTTCTCTTCCAAAGCAAAAAAGATTCGATGACCAGGCTTCTTGCCAAAAGAGAAGAGGAAGATCTCTGGACACAAGAGAATTACTTTTGAGATAAAAGATATACGTAGCTAGAAATGTATCCAAATTTCCTTACCTGGCTTTCACAGTAATCCTGAAGTTCTCAAATTTGTCAGAGCTAATAAAGCTGTTTTCTGGCTCTATGATAATGGAAAAGCTTGGCATTGCTAAAAGTTGAGCAGAAAATAAAGCAACTTAGATATATTTTTGGATGTTCAGCTACAGCTACTCAGAAGGAGGCTGCTGTATATGCTTCAAAGAATAATCAGTCAGTTTCAAGTGACTGAAATTACATTATAGCCCAAAAATAAAACCATCTGTTTGTCCACAGAGAAGCGCAAGTCATAAAAGCCCCGAGTTATCTGCAGCTAACCCGGTTCCAGATTTTATAAACTGCGGCCACATCAAGATGGCCCAGCAGACAGAAGAACAACTCTTATCTAGAGAAGCTGTGTTAATACAGTCTCATACTGATATGACAATTTAGCTTAAAGCGACATTGCTACACAGCACTACACTGCACAAAGCCACTGCCTGGTTTAATCAAAAGGCCATGTGCTAGTTCAGGCACTTCTGAGTATATTACTACATTTCCACAGAATAACCATCCTGTATTGTGGGCACACATTACCGTATTCCTTAATTTCAAATTTTGCAACAGCTGAGGTTATGAAATTCTTCTTGTACTTGGCTTCAATCTTCCAAATTCCATACCTGCAAAAAGTCAACAACCAATCACTATATTAATTCTGAAGATGAAAATTAAGCTGCTTAAGATATTTTATGTTAACAACTATTTAGAGTGAACATGTATGTTCACATCCATTTTTAGAAGATTCTGCTTGTTATTTTTTGTTATTTTAAATGGACTAAGAAATATTTTAAAGGGTTGATACAAATTTGAAAATATTATGTCATTGTTTATATCGTGTCCATCATCAATATCTTTTGTTTAAAGACTGCAAATGCAAGTGAGATCAATAAAGAGTTATTTGCTATAATCTTTCACCTGCCTGCTCTAACCCTGAGAGGAGACAAATGCCCATTTGGCTTTCCAGGATTGTTTCAATGCTGTCAGCAGGGATATTACGCATCACCTACACTATTTAACACAATTTGAATGATTTTTCTCTGCAAGCAGAAGCAGTCAAAAGGCATTTATTTAATTTCAAATTGCCTCACAAACTTATACAAGTTACAGTTGCCAAGCTTCTCTAAATGTTACTATCTTATATCTCAAAGAAGAATTATTCAGCTTGCTTTAATTCACATTTTATATCCATCTCATCTTTGCCAGTTTAATATAGTAACATTTATGCAACGTTAATGAAAAGTATATTCTTTATCCCGGGTCCCAGGATATGAGTAATTGCCAATTTATCTGATGCAGTTAGCACATTTAAAAATAATTCAGAAATTCTACAAAAAATAACAAAGTAAACACCTTTGTGATAAAGAAATATTTAGAGTTCAAGCTGGATCAAAGAAGATACAGAAACATACCTGTACCATGAAAAAAGAATATTTTCAGCATGCTAGTTCTTATTTCTCACTTAACAGACAATTAAAGTTCTTGTTCTCACATGCAGTATCTTGTGCTTACAAAGGGAGTCCTCAGTGTGCCACCATCTCAAATGGTGTAAAACAAACCAGCAAGGTTCTACTAACAAAACTTTGTACTGTGGCCTAAACCAACTGTTTTACAGTAACAAAATCAACGAAAAAGGTCATTCTGAGTGCAGACCATGTAACCCACAAGCAGTCAGACCTCGACTGAGAGTGCAGCTATGCACATCTGCACTGACAGCGCAGCAGTAACATGTACTGGTCAAGACAAGGCTCCTAAGGACTCATTCAGGCTTCCATCAGGGCCCTTTTCTCTAGCTGGAACACTAAGGCATGACTGAAGATCACAGAATTTATTAAAAAAACAGTTCCCACAATCTTTGGTTTTATGGCACTACTATTAAAATTAAGTACATTTACTGCTAAAAGATACTCAGGTTCAATATGGACACAAAACAAATTCTTACAGGGTTCAAATTATTCTCAGTTTCCTAATGGAAATGATATCGCTCAAAAAGCATTTTAAGTGCCTGCTGCTCTCCTTCTGACCCACCAGTGACTCTTCAGCACCCTCTCAAGGCAAAAAGGAGCGCTGAAGACATATTTAATTTGTACACTGCTGCTGGTAGTGATTTGTATGAATACAGAAGTTTTTATCCTTTATAATCAATACATTTTATACAATGCTTCCATCTCTATAGTAGTGTTTTTCTTTAAATTTTCCTCTTCAGTTGAAGATTATAAACTCATCACTAACTGTTCTCTAATTTCAGTTTTATCACTTCCTACATCTCCTCACTTTCTCTCATTATTTTAGAAAACTGAACTGAATTACAGGGAGTAAAATTTCTGTTTGGCTCTAGGAAACAAACAATGGTTTAGAAGTTAAGTGAAAGAAGAGCATCTGATCCTAAGTTCCTTATTTGTACTGGGTTGCACATGAAATTCAGGAGTTCTAGCATTTGGCATCGTTATGCATATTTTGTGTATCAGCAAAAGACTCTGATGGCCTTTAAGAAAAGGTAGCATTATTTTAACTATTCATAAAAAGCACTAAATAAATCTACTTAGGATTAGAAGGAATCTTGAAGTCAGGAAAAGAAACTATTCCAGTAAAATCTTCTTCTTCTATAATATCCACTTTTACTCCATCAGGATCCTTTAAATCATAACAGAAAAGAAACAGAAGTTACAGATCATTCTTATTAGAAGTAAAATCTTCATTTAGTAATTTTAATTACAGCCTGGACAATTGACAATATTAGATTCAACTATAACATACCACAAAAGTTAGGACGGTTTCTCGCCGAGCTGGCTGCAGTTCTTCATTCAAAGAATAGACTCTGACTTTCACTGTAAGAATCATTACAGTAAATTATTATAGAGACCAAAAACCAAACAAATGTTTTTATCCATACTAATTTCTTAAATCTTCAGTATCTACAAAATGCTCTTGACCTTTTGTCATCATGATGCTCAAACAAAAGACATCTATTGATGCTGGGAACAAAAAAAAATCCTGCACCAACTCTTTCAGATTGAATCATCCCAGTGCAAAATGAATCTTTGCCATCACAATTCCAGCACACCACCTTCATGGTAAGGAAATTCAGTATATGTGAAACCAACAACTCAATCATGATTATTTCTTCAATAATGTTTTTTTAGCATATTCCCATCAAAATCTTTCACCCTTTATACCTCAGATTAATGATTTATGCTGTAGATAACAGGAGCTGAGTTGAAGGATATTGGGAGAAGCAATTAATTTCTACAAAATGATAAGACCATTAAAATATTATTCTAATTAAAAATTAAATGGTAACCAATGACAACATAACATGACTAAACCCTGAAGTACATCTAAATCCTAATCCCTCAGCAGGTTTTAAAGATTAATTATAGCAAATAAATTAAGTATGATTTTACCTGATTGATCAGGAGTATAAACAGGTTTGTCTGTCTGAATAAAGAGAAATCCATTCTCATAGGAAACTGGAATTTTTTTTAACCTTGTAAAGTGTGGGGAAACCGCTTCCAAATACACATATTGGACTGAATTTGCTGTTCTTGATAAATCTGCTGGTTGAAGCTGGGGAAGATGAAATATGTAGAATTTTAAGGAATATTAAAATATTTTTCAAGTAGTATTTCTTCTATTTTCCTCTAGCATTTCTTGCTGAGCATCTGAATGGGAATTACTATCCTGATACTAATTCATATCAAATTACAGCATCATCCATGACTTCATTACACTAACTTTATCCAGTTGGTTCAATTTCAGACAAACTGCAGTGAAATAAAGAGCACAGGGAAGACTGAGGAACCAGGGCCTTCGGGTTCCCTTGCCTGTTTAAATAACAGGGGTCTCATTGCTGTGGAATTTTTTGATACTTACAACCCAGCGGGAAGACTGAGGAACCAGGGCCTTCGGCTTCCCTTGCCTGTTTAAATAACGGGGGTCTCGTTGTGGATTTTTTTGATACTTACAACCCAGTGGCAACAATAAATACACAAGGAGGAAAGTCTGAAATCATTACCGTTAATGTTACAGCATCCTGGAATTTTTTGGCTGGAGTTAAAGACATGTAGCCAGAAGAATAAGTAACGAGCTTATCTGGAAAACTTTTTAAGGCAACATTGACAGAAAATTCCTTCTCATAGCCAAAAGCTTGAACTACAACTTTTTCAGATGCTCCAATTCGGAAGATCTTTGGTGCTGTAAGGACATATCTGTTCGCAAAATAAAAAACAGTGAATGGGCAACAGGACTTTACTTTTTCTTTTGTATTTATTACTTTCATTTAGAATTGACTTATGTATACACTGCTAAAGCAAACAAGATGGAAATTTGGTTTGGTTATATTAGCACACCAGTTAAGGACAATATATTCTAAGTGGAGAATTTTTTATGAAAACTGTAATATAATATCACAAAATAACAGCTTAGGTAGGTTAATGTTGATGGATTTGATCCTGCAGACACATAGAGGTGCACATAATATGACAGACATTCACATGGAAATAATTATTCCTTTTGTCATCTTAAGCCCGAAATGCTAATCCTCCAAATAGTCGCACACTTGTGTAATATTCCCACCATCAAACCTCTCACTGAAACCAATGAAGCTACTCACAATAAAGGCAATTGTGAATAAAGTTTTGCAGGATTATTCTGATTTCATCAGTACCTTATAGTTAAAGCACAAATTACTCCAACAAAGCCATAGACTTTAGTATCTGAATGCTTAATAGACCTAAACACCTGGAAGAGTAGCTGACAGTCAAGCAACACTTCCAGTAAATACTATATTTATTTTACTTACGTTTTCTCTTGACTGAAACTTGTTCCAGAAAACAGCAGCACAAAGAAGAAAATTAATATAGCCATAGTGTCACAAATAACAAGCCATAAATGCCAGCAAATACGGATTAAATTGCATTTGGTTTTTACAGATGAACAGAAATACCACCAACAGGTTTCATTAATAGTTAATAATTAATCACAGATCTTGTTTTATTACAACGTGACTTCACCCTCCAATCCCCAAGACTTCACTCTCCCATTAACTTCCAAGTAAGCCATAAGAGGTAAATTCAGGAATTAGGTTTAGAATTTAGGGTTTTTTTTAAATATGTATAACACAATCCTAACTATATCTTTCCAAACGTTCTGTTTTACAACTACACAGAAACCCCCAATCAGAGGTAGCTTAAAAAAAAATAGACCTACATTTTCTTTCAGAAAATATTTTATAAAAGCTTTTGTTTTTAAATTTATTTCTGAAGGGGAAAAAAAGAATTTTATCAAATACAGTATGTTTCTTGGTTTGGAAGTTTCCTTTCTTCCTTTTGAAATAACTCCTCTCCTGCAAATACCACTTACTCATTTACATTCTTAATTAGGCCACCTTCCTGAGTGTTTAAATAACAAATAAAAGCGTAATACAAAAGTTAGAGACCTATAATATGTACTATTTTAAATAGCATTTGCCAAAGAAACATTGGCAGAAGAACCTTTGCATACCTGAGATCTAAGTACGGTACCTCAACAAATTCATAAATAGTTAAACTAAAGTTGTGCAAGACTCTTCAAGTTTAAACAAATACTGCAGTCAACCTTTACGGGAAGAGACATTTACAAAACATTTCTGATCAATATAACATTAAATTATAAAATGGTCAACATTGGCTCCTCAGTAAATGTAGGCAATAAACCACATGGGAAACAAAATATAGAACAAAATCTTATAAAAACTGCTGAATGCTATTAAAAACATGGGTACAAACACCTACTATTCAACACCAAACTGGGAGAATTCATAAAATAATTTAAATGGGTGACTAAGGAAACAGTAAAGAACAATGGAACACATTTTAAAGGTTTAATAATTTTGTTTGTTAATCAGTTATAGCTACAAGCTATAGCCCTGATCTAAAACATTTTCCCATTTTGGGCTACTGAATTTTCTATCCTGTATCTCACACTGAGCTGCATAGAATTGAAAGTAGTACAAAAAATGAACAAACAAGAACTTCTACAAGACTTTGATTTAAATATCTACATGAAAATAGTGATTTATTTACTGCATTCATTTTTCATGATCAAATATGCTATGTATTGTCAATGTATCTACAAAGACCAGTCTAAGGGCAGCTTTGCAAAGAGAATATGCTATGTATCCTATATATGCACTGTAATATGCAATGTTATTTACAAAGACCAGACTAAGAACAGTTTTGCAAAGAGAAGTCAAGATGTGCTAGATACATACACATATAAAACAAAAAAGCCAAAAAACTTCTACTGAAAAATGCTTTCATATGGTGATTTAGCTTTTTATTAAGCAGACTTCTAGACAAAATTTTAAAGAATCCACCTTTGGCAACTGAGAAGCTTTTCCATCTACGCCAAACCTCAGTATGTTCAAACAAGGAAGTAAAGCTAAAAAAAATAACAAAAAAAAACACCCCAAAGCCGCCTCTCGCCTCGTTCTCGCCTCCCCTCACGAGGGGCCCGCGCAGAGCGCGAGGACGCAGCGACCGCGCAGGCGCAGACGGCACCGCTAAGGGCGGGAGAGCGACCGTGGGGGGCGTGGCCGGTGGAGACCCCGCCCCCGCGAGTCCCCGACCTGCAGCCCCCGAGGCCGTTTGAAACAAGCAGACAAAATGGC